AAAATAAAATAAAATAAAAAGGGGGTAAAGGTGACTTGTATTCTTTTAAATGTCATTGTCATAAAAGGCAAAGGCTATAGATGTAATCCAGATTAAAGGAAGCTAAAAAACTGTTTGACCCTAACTTGGATCTTGGATCCTATATTGGGAATAAAGAGTTTTCTAAATAAAGCACATTATTTGACCAACTGACAAACTTGGAATATGGACAGTAGATTAAAGTATCAGTGAAAAGTTCTGTAGTTAGTAACTATATTCAAATGAGACAGATGGATACAGTGGCTGCATGTTGCATGTGGCTTAAACCTTATAACAATTGTGGGGCTAGGTTAGGACTGGAAAATATTTTGTTCTGTTGTGCATAGGGTTCCTATGAGTTTGAACAGAGTAGGTAATACCTATGTTAGGCTGCGTTGACTAGGGCAAGAAATCCAGGGAAAACTCATATATTTATAAGAAAGAGTTATACAAGAAGTAGTTATATATCAAGAAATAATCCCTGCTCAGTCCAACTAAAGCCCGATACTAGTCCATAAGTCCCACTTCAGACCCACGCAGCCATGTGCAATGATGGAAAATGCAAGGAAGATCATAGGCCAGTGGTTGCAGCAGAGTCATTGTGGATCCAAGGTGGGTCTACATGGAGGGCCTCCAGCAGCTCTCAGGGGGTGACCAGTAAGCAGGAAGGTGAACGGGGAGGAAAAGGAAGGAGGCCCCTTTCTCTCCCAGGTTCTCTTTATAAGAAGGCCATACCCCCAAGGAAGCACCATCAGGCTGACAGGTCAGACTCCACCCCTAACCAGGAGTGTCTAGTTGACATAAAGTCTCTAACTACTATAATACCTAACAACATTGAATCCGTATAAATTTATGTAATGAGTAACTATACTGAGGTACTGTACTGTGGTTATATAATAGAATATCCTTTTTCAATCAAACCAAAACTCCCTGCCATGTTGTCAATATTCCGACTCATAGTAACCTGTAGAACAGAGTAAAACTGCCCTTGTGAGTTTCTGAGACTATAAATCTTTATGGAAGTAGAAAGCCTCAACTTCCTTCCTTGAGGTGACTAGTGGGTATTCAAACTGCTGGCCTTGTGGTTAGCAGCCCAGAGTGTCACCCACTGTGCCACCAGGGCTCCAAGCCTTCTTAAGAAACACAATAGTTAGGAGTAAGGGAAAGGATGCATGTAATAAGCCTTCAAATGATTCCTAAATAATTGTGCTCATGTAATTACAGATATTCTGGGTGCTGTTTTTGATGTTGTTTTGCAACTTGTTAGTTTGCAATTACTTACAAATAAAAAATAATGATGAACAGCTGGCTATTAAAGCAAGAATACAGTGTCATCTTAACTACTTACACATTTCAAGAAAATTTGCACTACCAACTTTATTGTCACATGGCATTTCAGAAATAATAATCAATGTTCAATTAAGAAGAAAAAATTAGTAGATAAAATGTAGTGAAAGAAATTAAGGCGCACTTTTTTCTCTCCAAGGTTCAGGACTCAGGTGATGTGATTACAGAAGGTAGGATTCGTGTGGTTTTCAACATTCCATGTGAGCCCAATCTTGATGCTTTAATCCAGAACCAGCATGTGAGTACAGCAATTCATATTGTTTCATTTATTAAGTTGAATCATTAAGGTACACTTTGAATTTACAGATCTTGTTCAAGGAATTCTCAAAATATTTTTGTGTAAATTAATAAGCATAAAAAATACTTACTTTTGTGTTTATAAGATGACCACAGTGTCTTTTTTTCATGATCTTTTTCTCCAAAAATATTCCCCTGTCTCCTTTTGTTTTTCCCTCTTAAAAGAATAGAAGGAGAAGTGAGGGGGGTGTGTGTGTCAGATATTAGTCATTTATTACTACCAACTAAAACTAATGTATTAGTCTGGGTACTTTGGAGAAACAAATCCACAGCAACTCATGTATAAGAGAGAGTTTTATGTAAAGAAAATGTGCATCACGAAAACATCCCAACCCAATGCTGCCCAAGCCCACAAGTCCAACATTAACCCATTAACCCAAGACCAGTCCACAAAGTCCTCCACCTCACAAAACAGAGGCAATGATGCCGACTGCAGGAGGAAAGCTGAGTCAGTGAACGAACAAGCATCTCAGCACTAGCAGGGGTCTCCACACGGCTGCTCCGGCACCCAGGGCTGCATTGGGATAGGTCCATGTAGCTTCTCCTTGGGGATGTCTTGTAGGAAGTCAATCTTGCCAGCTGAAGCAGGGAACTGCTAAGGCAGCTGCACCCGGTGCAACCATCACAAAACAAGAGACCCGAGAACTAGAAAGGCGAGGCTCACCACCCATTCATCCCTCTGCCTTTCAATTAGCCCCACATGTGATTATTGGCCAGGCTGGCACAATTAACTAACTCAATCGAAGTAGCTATTGCTACTTAGACTTTTATTTTCCCTGATAAAATTTAATGTTTTATATCCTATGAAATGAGTTTAAGGTATTAGATATTAGTACCCTCATGAAGAAATTTTATGGAAAGCAAAGGAAAGCTAAAATTTTACCATCACATTTCTTCTGGAGAAAGAATTCAGAGAGAGCCCAGTCAGGATTGGCAGTGGATCCCATTAATTTAAGTCAAGAAGGTAGAACTTAGTTCTGGAGTCAGTGAAGGTAGAGCGCTATGCGTCATCATCCCTGGCTTTGTCCAGCTTTAGAAGCGTCTGCTGCCCACGCTAGCATGCACTGTTGATTGACTTTCCTTCTCTGGGTCCTTTCTTTCCCTCACTTCTCTTCTTTAACTTTCACTCAAAGCTTCTTTTTTTGTTCCATGTTTTAAGTTCTTTACATTTTCTAGAATACTTGTGATTGTTTTAATTAGCTTTTAATTATGCCATAACCCAACATTTCTCATAGGGATTATAACTTGTATTTTGGGCAGGACAATTATGTTCAATAGGCAGGTTACTTGGCTTCTAGCCCCTAAGTGCTGGTAGCCCATGCCAATTATTCTAACTGAATGTGGCCCTAGAGATTGCTAAATGCTTATTAGAAAGAAGGTACTACCTGCAATTGAGATCAGCCTATGTTATTTCCAAATCTAAACATTTCTTGATTTTAACAAAAGGTGTAGCATTCTTTATTAATATACCCACATTTTAAAATAGTGATTTTATATTCTAAGCCACCCCCCCCAAAAAAAGAGATAAAGAAAGATGGTTGATTTAATTCCTTAGCAATTTCTGGAAATATGGTATTTATTAGTGATGAAATTTCTATGGTATTTGTTAATGATGAAATTTCTATCTAAGGATACTTTATTGTTATGTACATTGTTAATAATATATGGTAACAAACCCAACTTGACACTGGGTTTGTGACTCTTTAATTTTCTTTCTGGTTAAAAGGAACATAGTTTGGTACTTTCCTTTTAAGTATACATATTATGGTTGCATTTCTCTGTATTAATTACAAGCATATTTATACGTGTTATTTCATGTGGTAGCAAGTATTAAAGGAAATATTACTTTTGTTGACATCTAAGTAACTTAATTTTTCTCCTCTATAGTTATGGAATTCTTCTGTTTTAATTCAGTGCAATAATTATGAAGCCTTATCTTGTACTACATACTTTAAGTACTTTGTTAGGGTCTGCTTAGAATATAGAAATTAGATTTTTTTTAAAAATCTGTTGCCTGTGAAGTTTGCCATCTCATATTTACAGTGAAGTCCATTTCTTGAGACAGTTTTATAAACTGCATATTTCCTCCTCCTCTGGATATCATTCTTGGAAATTCTGTTCCTTGAAAGAGAGAAGCAGAAATTATCTGCATACAGATCCTTTTAGAAAGAAAGAGAAATGGATCACTTACTTTTTAAAGTCCATACACTGCCACAATCCAGTGTTTAGTGATGTGTTATTTGCACATTTTAAAGGTAAAGAGATAGCATATAATGCCTTTGTGTTTCCATAATTGATCCTTTTTGTTTTTATATTTAAAGAAATATTCTATAAAGTACAACCCAGGATATGTGTTGGCCAGTCGCCTTGGAGTGAGTGGATACCTTGTTTCAAGGTTTACAGGAAGTATTTTTATTGGAAGAGGATCTAGGAGAAAGTAAGTTGATGTAGAGAAATTGACTTAAAAAGTGCTAGAAAATTAAAATGGTTAATACTTAAGTATTTTCTCTTATTAATTGCTCTGCATTTCCTTTCTCATTTGTGCACAAAATTTTCTGATAGTGATCTTTCATCCAAATGACACATGTCTTAAGATGGTTGAAAAGAAATTCTTTGTAACAACTAACATATTGAACCTTGAAAAAAGGTATCAGAGGGTGTGTGTGAATCTAAATAATGTATTTCTTTGCATATAATATTTTATTTTCCTTTCTATTACATAAACAATTTATCCATATGCTTATTAATTTAGATTCAGAAGCCTTTCTACAAGTTTTTCAATTACTGCTATTTTAGAAATACATAACTAAAATATACAGTAATAATCCAAACTAAGGTTTTCTAAAGATTAAAAACTTAATTTTGCTCTTTGAAATAAATTTTAATGTTTCCTGTGTGTATGTGTGGTTTAAATTCAGCCCTCATGGAGATCATAAAGCAAATGTGGGTTTGAATCTCAAATTCAACAAAAAAAATGAGGAGGTACCTGGCTATACCAAGAAAGTAGGAAGTGAATGGATGTATTCATCTGCAGCAGAACAACTTCTTGCCGAGTACTTAGAGAGGTATGTGCCCGAGTATCCAAAAACATAGGCATATAATGGTATTTAATTTTGCCTTGTTATAGCCCTTTTAGAAGGAAAGTGTTTTTTCTTTAGTAAAATGTGGTATATCATTCATAAATGTAACTGGAGAAAAAAGATAACTTTGTATTATGGAGCCAACACCATATCATTAGATAAAATAAAATACACACACACCCATATATACTGTACTTGTATTATTTAAAAAAAAACAACTTGAAAATGCGGTACCTTCTGATTAAAAATTTTAAATATCCTTAACTTGCTATCATAAATAACTCTCTACTCTGCATGTCTGTGTCAGTAGTAAGAGGACTTATGTGGATAAAAACAGATTTTGGCACAGTGAATTTACCCGAGAATTACACAACTGGACACAAAGTTATTTTCCGAGAATGATTTTTATTGCTGAAATGGGCTAAGAAGTCAACAAAGCTCAACTGCTCATAATAAAAATGAGAAAACTAAGTACCAAAGTCAAATGAACTACTTAGTAGCAAAGACTTACAGAAATTTTTTTACTTCTGATTCACAATTGAATGTTTTCTCTGTTGAATTCCCTTGCTTTTCTAACCTTTTCATATTTGAGGTTTCTAACTATTTATTTTACTGCTTCTTATTTCTCTAAATGATCTTAGTTTGTTTTAACTGGATTTTTCCAACTAAGCATATCCCTTGATTGCCTACTATTAAAGAAGTTTTCGTTTTCTTCTTACACCTTCCTCGCGACTCTCCCTGCATCCCATCCCATCCTCCCCCCCACACACATACGTGCACACATAGCATCCCATCCCTTTATTAACTCACTATAGTTTTATCACAGCTTTTGGTTAAATCGTATTGAAGACTTACTTGATTATGTGAATGTAAACGTTGTTCACAGCTCGACCTTATAGTATATTGTGATTTCCTTCCTTGTACAATTTTTGTTACCTCTACTATGTTTTTTAATTTGCTTAATTATAAATATTTTTAAAACTAATTCAGCCCTAAACTCTGTGCCATCACTTAAAAATTCTATGACCTGCCTCCAGCTCTCATTTTGGTGTTGTTTCCTTTTATTGTCATGCTATGAATTCTCACCATCATCTCCTGTATGAAATTTCTTTATTTCCTGGCTCCCATGCCTTAGTCTTTCAGGGTTATGGCTTCATTTAAATGACGCACTCTCTCCTGTAGCTTGCTGAAAATGCCTGTGTGCCTAGAAAATGCCTTAATTCCTTAATTAATTAATTAATGGCTTAAGTGCATATGGAATCCTACATTAGAAATTATTTTCCCTCAGAATTTTGAAGGGATTGCTTCATTTTGAAGCAATTGCTCCATTCTTTTCTTGTTTTCAGTGTTATTGTAGAGAAGTTCTATATCATTCTTACTCTGAACAATATCTATTTTCATTTTCTAAAATTGTTTTAGGATCTTTATTATTATGTTTACTGTTCTGCTTCTATTAATATAGTGTGATAATTATGCTGTGGTCTGGGTCTTTTTCATTCTTTTTACTGTTTGACTCTTTCAGTCTTGAAACAAATGACTTTTTTCCTTTCTGAAAAAGTTTCTTGTGTTAGTTCTTTGATAATTTCTTCCACATCATTTTCTGTATGATCTTTCTTGCTGAGATTCTTATTAGTTAAAAACTTAGATGGCTCCTCCAATTTTATTATTTCTTCTCATCCATTTTCTATGTATTTTTCTATATTGTTGTAAACATTTTTACTAGAGGATTTCATTCCAACAACTCCATTGTAAATCAATTCTGTCCACTTAGCATAAGGAACTACTTAAGTTGAACTTTCATTTTTTAGTTTCCATTATCATATAAATCTGATCTGTTTTTTTCCCTGTGTGTTGGCAATGAGAAGGATAACATCACACTATCAGTATATAGTATATTATTACTAAGGATAAAATGAAAATTATGCTCAGCCTTCATTTGGGTTTCAGTAATTTATCTCAGTTACATTGCCCTTGCTGAATCCAATCCCTACCAGGCCTCTCAAACCCTCCTTGCCACTCATTTTGGATCACTTGTGGCTCCCTTGTGCCTGTGTTGGTCAACACCACCTCCTTACACCCTCCTCCTCCTCTCCCATGTCTCCCAGGAACCATTGGTCCCGTTGTTTTTTCCTCCAGACTGTTCATCCAGTCTATCTTATCTAGATAAATCTGCAGAGATAATAATAAGCACCAAAAAACAAGGCACAGCAAGACAAAGCAACGAAAGAGAACACAACGATGACAACAAAGAAAACCAATGAACTATAAAAGAATAAGTTGATTTTTTTTAAAAGGAAAAAAAATTTTAAAAGAAAGAAAAACCTATAAATACATCAAGGTCTGATTTTTTTACCTCTAGGCGTGTCCTCCAGTCAAGTCCCAAGGGGTGCCACGCTCTGGCCCCAGAGTCTATCCTTGGCACTCTCTCGGGAGCTCACTGCTCTGCCGCATGCCTTTAGTGTTTTTGCCTCGGTGTCGTGGCGTCAGTCTGGGCTAATCCCGACCCTGAGTCTCCAGTGTTGTTCCCCATAGGGCCATGGGTGAGCTAGGGACATCATGTCTCATAGTGGGATCAGCCATATGAACCTCTCTGTGCATTGGCTGTTTGGAGTGGGGATATCATCCTCCAGGCCTGGTGGGCCAGGATGTGTTCCACTCTCTCTTCTTCCCCATTCATTTGCTCCTGTGTGCTCTGAT